TCTTCAGAAGCTCAACTGCTCCGCGGCCTATCGCGCACTACGGAGAAGAACCGTGGATGTAGGCTACATTGCAATCGCATCGTGAGTTCTGCCATCTCGGTTCCCAAGGAAAGGTTTGGCGAAGTGGACTGACTGACCGAATGACCAGAACGATAAAGCTCCGAAACACAATCACGTGGAGAATGGTCTTACAACAACTGCTGACTAGCCATTATAAGCTGCATAAGCGCTACTGCTCAATCAAACTGAGAAGCACAGCAGAGACAAAAACGTGAAGAGCTGGTGCCGAGGGCCGAAAATGGCTGTTACGTCGGCATCATTTTCTTCGAGGGCGAAATTTCCACTGTAGAGCGAAGCCGCAATCTCCAAGCTTCGAAAATGCTCCAAAAATGCATTAAAGACTGCATCCACCTGAATGAGCCGTGGCCTTTTCTCTGTAAAGTTTGCGAAGAGAACACCCCAGGATGCCATGCGGGCCACAGTAGAAGCAATTGGGAGCCATACTCACAACAACAGGGGAGCATATCCAATGAATGTCATTCCTTTCAATATGTAAATGTATTGCTAAAATTTTTGTAAAACCTCTTGAAGATACATCCATTTTGAAAGAAGTTACAAGTAAAGAAAAGTGGTGCAATATTTATGGGACACCCTGTACTTCCGTTCAGAATCGCTAAGGTATTTGAATGCGAGTTGGCCTGCACATTAGTTATTCGGAGCACAAATCGTTCACGTCAAGATTTTCACTATTCAGGCGGCTCTGATACCAATAAAGTAAGCGCGGAGCAATGGGTTTTTACCTGGGGGGGGGGGGCGGTGACACGAGATTTAACCCCTAATCACGCGCAAGTGGAGCCATTTTTCATATTTAGTTGAAATGAATATATTATCTATAAAAATCTTGCTGCTTCGGGTTAACCAACCTGAGCTTCCCCAGCAGCCTCCTCTCTTGTACGGAACGTGCTGAGCCTAAGGGCAACAACTTCGTGGGCATCGGTCTTTGCCAAATACGACACTCCACTGTCTATCGCTTCAGGGAATAATCCTGCAAAGATTTTCCTTTCTGTTTTATTCAAAAACTAAAACGTGGACTAGCTCTCCGTCCCACGTGAAACTTTACTTTCATGAGTCTTGACGAGGGTCACCCGTGGCCTTGCAAGTTCCAATTTCATGACGCTCCCCCTCCCCTTAGGGGACGCTCTCGGTACATTCGTAGTTTTCAAATCGCATGAGAAAATGCGACATCAGAGCTTTTGAACATGCAGCAAAACTTATTTCGATATTGATCAGAACAAAATGAGGGTCCCCTTAGCCCGTTTTTTTTTTCTGTTGGGGGGCCAGCTGGGCAATGGCTTCAGATTGGATTTTTGCTTCCTATTCCTAGACGCTGGGCACTATATCTTCCCTTTCGGGGGCCTTTTTCCTTAAACCTACAAGTACAAACAAAATTCTGATCGATTTCATTGCTCCCTAATCCTGACATTCCCTTATAGAGCAAGAAAACAATTGAGCTTCAAAATAGTATTTATTACAGAAGACTCGGAAACTGTTTACAAAAAAATTGCAAAAGTATTGCAATTTCTCCCAAAAATTTTAAAAGCCGTTTGGCGAGCTTTTGACGCCTTTTGTCAAACCCGAAATGCGTAAATTAAGATTTTTATAGTGCGTTTTGTTCTGCTATATATTGGAACTACATTAACTGACCAATCTGCTGCCGCTCACAAATGTTAAATTTTCACCGCACTGTAGTTGGCCTGTGAAGCAGAAAATTGTTCCTTATCCAAATCTCACCCTCAAATAACAATGACGTGCTACGACTGTACTATTAGACATATACATGGAAATATGTCAACGCTTATCACAGCAGTCATGCGATGAGTTGGGGATATCCATGCAACTCATCTTTGTAAATTATTTCTGGGGTTAACCTTTTTATTTCCAACGCCTCCAATATTTTCTTTCCACTGCGGTTTCGATGCAACGGTGTAGAACCCTGATGGCAAGGCTTGGGCAGCTCATCCCTGGCAATATGTTTTGGGTTCTATGTTTGGCGAAACTATTTACCGAGGATGAAAATACGATTTGTAAGTTCCCATGCTCGTCCAACCCGCGCATGTTCTATGTATTCGTATAGAGAGCTGGCGCGATGCTATTGTTATCTCTGCCACACTCGAAAACTCTATCGTAAACCCTTTTGTCACACAGTATTAACCCTCGCATACTATATGACGAAAGACGGTACGATAGACAGCCGACACTCACCTATGTTAGTCTTCCACACACGGAAGTCCGAACCACGACGCGGCACACTCCCTTCTTCCAGCATATTCTCCAGTAAATCGTCTGTCACTGGAAGCCATCTTTATGTGGTGGTCGACGGTATACGATAGTGGTTTGTAACAGTTTAATTTAAAGCCTAGTTTCCACGTGTGCATCGTGTCTCGATACTAACGACATTATCACAGGAATTCATCGAGCGTGTCGAATAGAGGTCGCCATGATGGCCACTTTGGCACTCTGAGAGACCAATGTCCTCATTTCTCAGAGAAAAAAGGCTCAAAATACGGGTCCACCTGAGGGTTGACTTCAAATTTTGTCCTAGGCCAAGATCAGGTTGCGGATGACATTGATCTTCATGTAAGGGGAGGGGCAACTTCCAGCATGCAGGAGTACATTGCTTGACGCCTGGTTTTTATACCACTGTGATGCCTCCTTCTCTCCTTCTTTAACCCTTTGACGACCGTGTGGCCCGCCGGTGGGCCACACTTTCGCTCGGTGGCGACACGTTTTTAGGGGTTTATTTTGGCATTTTTTATGTTTCAAAACTACACAAATACATCATCGAATTCGCGGAATAATGCGCTAATTACTAATAGTGAAATTGTTGGAGAGTTAATGATTATTGATGAAAAAATTTAGAAAGAAGTGAAGTGACGCATTCATAACGGCGGTCGTCAAAGGGTTAATTTTGGTGTTGAGAAAAGGGACGAACCCCTCCTCATTTGGCTCTTCCACTGCAGTTTTTATTGGGATCCTCTGAGTTTGAGTTGTGTAGTGTATCCTCCAAATCTCTTCTGGAAGAACCGATGATAAACACATCGTCAAAATAACGCATGTACAGTGTTATTCAAGTTGTTGAGGATCTGCGTTCTAACTCGAAGTAAATGATTGCCAATAAGGGGTTTACTTGTAATTCGATGGCTAGTCCGCAGTGTTGTTTGTGAAACTTCACATCGAATTGGAATATGATCCATCCCAGTTTCCACAAGTAACTCCCGTAGGTCACTTTCTCTCTCAGACCCAGTGTGTAACCTCTCTCTTGTGCTCCTTCCGAAAGGCTAGTAGATCTTCAATTGTATCAACTGTGCTGATGTTTGTGTATAGGGCAACCGCATAAAAGTTTACATAGCTAGCATTAGGTGGAATTTGGCATTGATCAAGTGAAGCCATGAAGCCGTGTGTGTTGGAAATAGATGAGGCGACATAACGCAAGAATGTAGAAAGGAGCTTAACGTGTAACCAGCTAATCCTGTCGGATGGTCCACCGCAGCGAGATGATGGGACGTCTGTTAGAATCCCGCGCCTGTTATTCGATCTACAAATATGTCCCCAAATTCCATTTTCAATAATAAAACCAGAAGCATCGAAAAGTACCCATGACTTCAATTTTTTCGATGGAACGACTCCTGAGAGTACTGTAGGCTGAAATGTGAAGCAACCAGCATTACCCCAAATTTCACCTGTAGTTATCTAGAGCATACATCGAACGCCTTTATTGTATGTCAAGGGCGCTGCTATTCTTATCCTCAGCATTGGAAAGTAAAGTGCAGTCTCCCGAGCTCCAGCTGCGCCCACGTTCAGCTCTTTATGGGTGAAACTTCAGGTTGTAAGCGTCCACAAGATAAAACAAATGGAGACCAGTAGACTTCAACGTAAAAAACAGTTTCCTGTTGATTTCGTGAACTTCCCGTTGATTTTGCGTGGTGTACGGTATCGCTTATCGATTAACCCC